TATTATACTATTTTAGAATATTAAATATTTTTTAATTACTTTTAATTGCTATAAAAAAATTTAGGGTCAAAATGATAAATTTTTTTAATATTTTATGTTGTATTGTTTTATTATATTAATATGTAAAACATATCAAATTACAGTAGTTTTCATATAGTTTTAAGTATTTATTTTTTATTTCAAATATCGAATTAATATTATCTAATTTGATTTTAATAATTTATCAAATCGACTTTTCAAAAGCGAAATATAATAATTAAAGGTGGATGGTTTGAGTAATACTTTTTAAGTTTATAAAAATTAATGAATAATTTATCATTTCGGTCTATTTTACTCATACTATTAAATATTATTTATTTTTTAATGTTTAAATAACTAATAGTTAATAAAGGTGATTTAATAAAATTATTGTTATTATTTATTGAATATAGATAGTAGCACATAAAATCTAACTTCACCTCTTGTCCAGTTTAAATCTAACTTCAGTCGCAAATTTATTTGGTTTAAAATAATAAAGAATATTTTATTTATATATTTAAATAGTCTAATTTTTCAGTGAATGGTATTCAATTGATGATTGATATTTACTTATAATTTTATCCCCGAATGTGTGATATTGTATAAATATAAAAAATATATAATATATTCGAAAGATCTATTCATTAAAACATACTATACAATATAACACAAAATAACGGAATATTGGTGGGTACAATCAATTTGAAATACTTTTACAATGTGTTAAATCGTTTGTTTTGTCTGAATATGCATAATTGTATCTTATCTAAGTTTTGAGCTATTAATTTAAAATTTCTGTTCACACAAATATAATATAAATTATAAAATAATACATAATAACTATACAAATAAAATCATAACACGTTCAATTTTATATGATACTATCGTCAGAGATAAATTCCTCACCGTAGTTACTCGTTGTAATCCTTGTTCAAAAAATAAAGAATAGTCTCAAGAAGAAACAAGAATTTGGCTCATAAAATGGTGCAACTATAAAAACTATTATACAACTATCTTTGTGAACACACACTTTAATTCTACAACTGAAAAAACAGATAAATCTACTTCAATTAATAAAATTTATTTTAAAAATAAATCATCCCGTTATAATTTCTCCCATATTTATATCGACTTGAGGAATCGAAATATTGATAATCATTTTGGTCTTCAATTGCTCAAGTCACATGGATGAATTCTATGAACGTTCTACACTATTCTAGAAAAAATAAGGTCATTTTTGTCATTAACAATGTAACTATTCCTTTTTTTTTCTTCCATTTTATTTTTAACCGTTAGTTAAACATTCTGTTACATATAAAATCAATCTCACGAAAAATATTCATTTCAACAATTCAATGGAATCAACAACGAGTATTCCATTTCCATCCTCGATTACCGATTCGAGTTCGAAAGATGAAAAAGCTATCACAATTCAACAACTGAAAATGCAATTTCACGGCACCAGAAAAGGGGATCTGGACACCATTGAATCATACATCAACCATTTGCAATCAATAGCCGATTCTCTATCCGCTAACGAAAATCCTTTATCAGATTCAGATTTGGTACTGCAACTTCTCGCCGGTTTGCCTTCTCCTCAATACTCGCCTTACCAGAACAGAATCTCATCGCAGTCACCTCTACCTGATTTTTCAACTGCTTCTTCTTTGCTCTACATGTACGAATCGTTATTAAATCATACTTCGAAAGATCAAAATTATGATAATAAAGAGATGCTGCATAAGATTGTTGATGTGTTTAGTACTGTAACTAGTGCTGTTGCTACAGTAATGGATGTATGGAGTATGTTTGGAAAATCTGCTACAACGACAAGTAGTACAGGAAACAGAAGAAACAGTAGAAGACGTAATCGAGGAAGAGGGAGGAGGTAGAAATTTGTTTCGAGTTTTCGAAGAAATTAGAAAATGTAATCTATAAGTATTGTGTTGCTATGTTTTAGAGTTTTTTTTTTTGTGTGTGTGTGATTTTTCATTTTATGTATGTAAAATAAGAATAGACTGTTTTTGCTTGTTACGACTGAATATGGTGTAGAATTTGATTATTTGGTGGTCGGATAAGAAATATGTGTTTTTGAAAAATGAGTTAATGGTATATAAAATAATCAGATGTGATATTTATTTAACAATTTTGTATAGTGTAGTAGGGGATGTTTATAGTTTAAATTAAAATCTATACAATTAGAAAAATGGAACTAAATCGAATAATTTTATTTGGCTTAGGTTTGGTTTAATTTTAAAATCTTAAAAATTTATAACGTTTCCATTGGTTATTGTCTTGTTCGAAAGTGATAACTAGAAAGAAATAATTTGGGAAAATTGTTGATAAATGAATTAAGATCTATTGTCAAAGGGAGGGTTTAATTAATTATTTTTAAAAAAGTTATATCATCTCTTTTTGAGTATTTTATAATATATAATAAAAGTTAAATTTTTTTTAAAATCATCTTAATCATATTGATTTTTTTTATATTTGTACGATTTAATTAATTTTTAAATTTTCCTTCAAGATTTGGGGTCTGCAAACTTTTAGAGTATCATCTCAAAGTATTTTACTATTAAAATATTTTTCTTTCACAAGTATGTCACTTGAATATAAAATTATGTTACTTTATTATTTGACCATATATATTTAGTAGGAGTGCTTGCAAGCATAGATTTTATCGTATTGTTTGATAAAGTATCTATTATAATATTTAGGATCTAGGTTATATTTATATTTGAAAAATGTTGAAAACACATTTATGTATCAAATTTTATATATTGTTGGTGTATAAAATATATTCACATGTAAAGTTATTCGTTTTGGTTTGAAAACTTTTTCCACTTTTATTGTAAATTAGTAGGGTCATCCCAATTATGCGATACAGCTATACACTTAAACAAAAGTCCACAATTTTTTTTAAAAGATAATATAAATTAATTCGTACAATTATATTCGATCTATTTCTTATACCCATAATTTTAGTCCCCATCAACTTTAGCTTAATAATAATTTAAGTGAAACTTAGCTCCTAATATAAAAGAAAGACTACAAAGAAGTCTACAAATGAACTTAGGAGTATTTTCTTTTACTCTCACTTTTGGAATCTAATAAAAATTGATCATTACGAATGTTATGATTTATTCGATTTCTTATCTTCTTGTCTATGACCGTGAAAATTTTCAAATTAAAGTAACTCTTTGCTACACAGAAAAGGGCAAAGATTATTCTTAACAAGAAGGTAATTATTTTATTATTATATATTTAAAGGAATAATTAAAAGAGCATTAACCAAAAGACAAAAAGGAAAAAAAATAATTAATAAATGGACTAAGATCAATTGCAGTCCCCATCAACTTTAGTTTAATAATTGAAGTGAAGCTTCGTCCTTACATGTAAAAAAGAAGACCGCAACAGAAGTCTACTAATCAAATATTACTTTTTTTCGTTTAAATTTATTTGACTTATTTAATTTAATTTATATGAAATTTAAAAAAGTAAAAAGTATTAAAAGGTATTGTCTATGATCAATGAAGCAATTTTCCGTGGCGGTAGAAAAAATTATTTGATACATATTGGTGAAAAATGTATCCTTCAAATTAGTAGGGGTGCTAAAAAAAACCATCCAAACACCATAATCATAAAAAAGAACATAAAAAAAATTTGATTGTTGTAGTTTGAGAATAAAAATATATTAAGATAATTTTTCATTCTATAATCTTAAAGAATAAAAATATATTAAGATAATTTTTAATTCTATAATCTTAAACATGTCGAAGATAAAGTGAAAATAAATTAATAAACAAAATAGATTATAAAATAGTGATTTTTTTTTGTCTTTTAATGAAATCGTACGGAGCCAATGTTATTGGTAGTTCCTTTTTTATTATTCCAGAAGTTAGTTGAAATAATTGGTGGGTCTTGAAAACTTCTTAATTAAAAGAGTGATAAACAAAGTGTTATGATAAATTAATAGTATTCGAAAAAAAATTAAAAAAAATGTAATAAACAAACATTATTGTGAAATCTCAGCAATAGCTATTCGCGCTCATCATTTGAATAAAATCTCAGCTATAACTATTCTCGTTGTCAATCACCATTACCTGTCATCCTTAGTCCAATCACAACCATCAATATTATCGTGATCAACACATAATCATTATCGTTAATCGTTACTGTCATCAATTGCCCATATTTTTAAATAAAGATATTGAAGTGGTGCTATTCACGGGACTTTATCCCTGATATCCCTTTTCCAAGTCCTTGGTTAGTAATAGCTATTCGCGCTCACCATTCTGTTCTACATTAATTTTTATTTTGACGCTATTTTTACTAAAATATCAGCTATAATTATTCTTGTTGTCAATCATCATTATCTATCATCCTTAGTTAAACATAACCATCAAAATCATCGTGATCAAATTGCAACATCACCATTAACATTGTTACGTCCACTAATCACTATAGATAATTATTACTATTAAGTATATTATATATCGCTAACCCAATTTACCATCCCAATTAGTTATTAATAGTATTATCCTAGAGCTATATATCAACCGTCACCACTTGTAACTATGATTTATTATTACTGTCTACGGTCAATAATCAATATTATCCTAGATCAACACATAATCATTATCGTTAGTCGTTAAAGAAATTGAAGTGGTGCTATTCACGGGACTTTATCCCTAATCTCCCTTTTCCAAGTCCTTGGTTAGTGCTTCTTGGAAAGTGCTTCACTTGATTTGAGGTTAAACGTGATTGGAAATGACCAACATGTTGGTTGGTTGGTCCAATTACAAAGAAGATAAACAAAAATAAATACTTACTCAACTATAATAATAATTTACGGGTAAATTTATCATCAGTTTCACATCAAGTGTATACATTAGGTCAATATATGTATATTATGTATGTAAATTTATAATTTATTTTATTTAATTATAATTAATTAATATATATTTTACTTTATTAAATTACGTGATACTGAAAATTATACTAATTTAGTATATACATTAGGTGCGAGTAATTTTTTTCCCAAGTATATCAACCATTGATAAAAAATCAAATAAATCATAAGATTTATAATAATTGATATGATGAAGATTTTATTAAATCCCAAAAAAAATAATGTTCGTAATGATCAATTTTACGAAGATTCGATTGAATTTTTAAAAGTAAAAACAAGGAAAAGACAAGAAAAAGCATCTTATAGCAACTTGGGAGGCCCCTCCCCACTTTACTTTCCTTCGTTATAAAGAAATGGTAGAAAGACTAAATAGTACTATATACACTATAAATAAAAATAGGTGGAGCTTTAAGTTAAATGCCTCTTCTACAATAAAGTTTCAATTTTTATGGTATATTTTAGATTTTGATATTTAAAGAAATTTTTATTTTATAAAAATTGTTATATATATTTTTAAATATATCAAATTATTGAATGTTACGTGGGTTAAATTACAAAAATCATATACTTTTAAGGTAAAATTACAATTTATCCCTTAAAAGTTTATAATTACAGAAATTCCTCAAACAAATATAATAATATAAGCACATATAAATTAAAAGAGGGTCGGATACATTAATGGCCAAAAAAATTAAAGCGCTGATACATTAAAAAAGGGTCGGATACGTTAACGGAGAATACATTAATGGAGGGTCGAGATACATCAATGACCAAAAATTCAAAGCGCTTCTACATTAAAAAGAGGGTCAGATACATGCGTTGATACATTGAAAATAGCTTCGAATACATTAATGACATTTTTGACTTAAGAGAAAAATAAGGAATTTTGAAAATTTGTAAAACTTATAGATGATAATGGTAATAAGTAAACTAAAGGGTGATATTTATGTAATTATTTTATTATGTTATTATATAGTAAATTTTACATAGCAAATAAATAGAATTTATTTTAAAAATCTAAGATTTCATAATTCACAATTAAAATTAATATTAATATTAATCACTACCCTCTTTGTCCCTAATTCACTTCTATCAATAATAAGTTCATATAAGATCTAAATAACAAGAGATTATTTAACTTTGTTTTCGTATTTTCACAACACAAAACCATACATACAATACATAATAGTAGTAAACATGAAAATTACAAAAATTAAATAACATAGATTAAAAATTTTAAAAACGAAAAAGTTACTAGTTCAATAACAATCAAAACAAATCACACAAGTTGATCACCAGGATAAGATCGTAGATTTCGAAAATAATCTCTTGGATTACTCTCAAAAGTGCTTCTAGGCATCCTACAATTTCTTCCAGGAGCTTTCATCATTCGTCCACGTCCACGTCCACGACAACAGCAACAACAACAACAATAACTAATGAGGGCGATAAATATTGTGATGATAAGAAAGGGTAAAGCTACGTGAAACCAGTGATTGATTTTGTCTTTTCGAGTGTCTGGTGGAAACACTTTATCGAACCAACTAAGGAATTGACCACTGAAATTGTTAAGTAAAAGGAAGAGTTCCTTTAATTTTTCAATTGCATAGTTTTTAACTTCCTCAATTCCCATCTTGATGATCAATAAAGATTTTTAGATAATGAGAAGTGTGATGAGTGAGGGATACAAAGGGTAAAGTGAAAATTGCAAAGATCTAGTATTACTAGTGTTAGTTTTATAGGGTGAGGTTTTCTTCTTCTTTATTATTTGGTGTGTGTGGGGTGGGGTGGGCCCTTTTAAGGTTGATATATTCCATCTGTTTCTATTTATATGTCGTCTTTATTAAAAGTAAATGTTTCTTAATACTGGTCATTTTGCAAAATTAATGTATAAGTAATATTTTTCTTCTTATTTTACCCTATGAATTTTACCAAAATACGAAAACTAAATGATTTAGATTATTTCATGTTCATTAGTCAATTTAATTAATCAAAATAAATTAATTTATGTTAATTTATTGAAAACACGACTTCAAGAGAATACTAAATAAGATTGTTATGACAAACTTATCTGAAGAACGTGAAATCTAAAATGGTGAGAAATAAATAGAAACGTATTACTTGATGACTTACTAAATCGAGATAGAATTAATTAATATTTTCCTCTTTACCTGATCTTTGCAAGTTTGAACAATTCTCAGTTAGCTATTTTATACTATATGCATACTTTT